CCTAAGTGTTTAGCGAAAGCCACGTGTGGTAACCCAAAGTCTGTATATTTGCAAAAGGACATATTTACAAATACACAGCTTATTATGTGAATCAACTTTTTTTTTGTTCTTTTCTCTCCACCAAACGTGCATAACATAAAGCAAGAGGACGAATATAAAAACACACAAGTCAAACTCACTTACATTAGAACTCAAATTTGCTCACTCAAATAAGGATAGATCCACTGACTTCACTGAACTATACAGCATGCATAATCTATTACCACTTGATCCTATAAGATGACAAGCTCTCTGACCACTACAGCCCAATGTTTAACCAATATCCTTTAAGTTATCCATATGGATAAATAGACTATAGCCTTGTACCAGCGTGTTCACGGTTCCAAAGTACGTGCTTACATGTTTTACTGAACTGGTTGTCACTGTGAAAGGTCATGACATCCGATGTGTTATACCCATGAATCCTGTCTCCAAAAAGTTATGAAAGGCATTATTAACATATGTACAGGGTACATATTTACATATCAAATCCTATGGAGAGTCTGCGTCTTGACTATAGTAGGAGCTCTTGGGTGAAATGCGCGGGATCTACTCCAGTGTTAGCACATCTCTATAACAAACAGAACATGAATGTAGAAACAGCATCTGTCTACTAAAGTATCACATCTGAACTAACATTGCTTGCTGATATGCTCTTTAAGTCACAGTGTGTCATATACCCTTTATTACTATTAAAAAGGCTTCCACAGAACAAAAAAGATTTATACAATTAATTATAAACGTACAGGAAAGACATTTTACAATTATAAACCCATATCCCATTAACACAAGTAACAATTACGTGCAGATCAAGAGTAGCCTTTTCCTTGAATCCTACTGGAATTAGCAAGAAAAGTGATAGGATTTGATTACTTATACGTAGATTGTTTGCATATATAGGATTGCAGAATATGTACTTTAGCAAATAAAATATATCTTAAAACATGATACATAATTAAGTTAGAGAAAGACAAATCATGATAAGGCATAAAAGCAGAAATCTGTCAACAAATCAGCTGACTTGATCAGAGTCCTTTCTTCTTTTTGAAATCAGTCACACAACATAGGATCAGCATGTTAAATATACATAAAACAGAATAAACTGCAATTATTTTTGTTTCCTAAGAAGGTGGAAAACCTTGTATGTTGTATTCAAAGGATGAAGTTGCAATTTTTCTCCTCTTAAATACAGTAACAGTGCTTACCTTTCTCTCAGCTATCTACTAAAGGCCCAGAAGTTAGAAGATACTGTCAGGGAAGTCCAGTAGTTCTACAGCACTTAAAAGTTGACTTCGAGACACACTTCTAAAGGTTTTGCTTTTGAATGAATGCTGCTCACAACAAACGCCTGGCAGAGGCCCAGATCAAAGTATCAGGTAATTGTCTCAGCAGTCAAGACTGAGAACACTAATTAATTAGTAATAAATATTCTGAATTATTAAAGATAAAACTTCTCTGATCTTTGTTTCAAAGCCATTTTTTTCTTATGGTTTGAGTGCAGTATTTCTAAATTGAGGGGCCATTTTACTAAGCATCTCCCCGTTGCTGAGAAACAGTGTTGCTATAGAGACTGAAAAGGAGGTGGAAGTCAGGCACACCACTGCAGGAAGCAGCCTGTGCTGTAACAAACAGTTGGTGCAACAACATATAGAGGGATAACAGGAAGCCCTAGTGGTAAAGTCCTAGAATAAGAACTGATCAGACCAACCAGAAAGTTTACATGCTCTGCAGTGGATCCAAATTCGAGAGTTTATGCAGAATACATATAACATTTTTAAGATACATCCCTTTATCATAAGAACATTTTTAATGATTTTTTTCAGTTACGCTAGCACTCAGGTAGTAGAACTCATCAATGCTATCCTACATACACACCATTACTCAAAAACTTGTGAGAAAAATGCATAATGGAAATTACTTATTACTTAAAAAAAGAAAAAACCCTACCAAATTTGTCAATACAAAACTAAGTCTTTCGTTGTGCTACCAAGAGGTAGTTTGTGTTACAAAGAGGCCAACTTTGAATATGTTATCATATTTTAGCTTTCCTATTATTTTTATTCTTTTTTTTTTCCTAAGCAAAAGCCAGGGTAACAAACTTTAGTTTCCATGCTGTTATGTCTCCATGAGGAAATATCTGGATTTCCCTGCAGGCCACTAGCTTAGCCTAATTAGAGTAATTTAGGATATAAGAGACATCCACACCACGGATATTTGTTTTGACTTTCTCCTCCAGATTCCCGAGAAGTGCTTTGGCTGTGATTCTCACATGGTGACTCAGAAGCCCTCTAAGCCTGCTTAAATGATGCAGAAACAGCTCATTTATTTCTCATTAACAGCTGTGCAGTGCTAATGCCTGAACTGCACAGTGAGTTTGAACTACCATCTCCACAGGTAGAATAAAAGAACACAAATAGTAAAAGACTGCCAAATCATATTCCATGTAGGAAAAAAAAGTAAATACACACCGGAGAAATTATTACTTCCCTCACATCTCCTTAGAGAAGAATGAGTCATGGAACAAAGCAAGATATCGCTTGGAAAGACTACTGGTAGCAAGCAGCCTTCCTTCCTTCCTTTGCTCTCCTGAGATATCTGCCTCCAGATGCTCTTTAACGATTCAGCCAATTTTCTGTGCATACACTGCCAGAAACTAATTCCCTCAAGAGCATATCCTCATGAAATTAATGATTCCCTACCACTTTCTTCAAGACCTTTCACAACATCTGCCTCTACAACTCCCATCTGAACTCTTCCATGAGGATACCTGTACCAATGAAATCTCAGTTCCTGTACATGTTGCTTCTCCCATACACATTTCCTACAAGAAACTGCACCCTTTCCTCCAACTCCCTGGTGATACCTACGCCTTCTGGGTGCCTTTTTCAAAGACCAGGGGAGAGCCTCCCCTTCTCCTTCTATTCATATTGGCTGGCAAGGAACAAATAAACTCCTCTTGGTTTCCTCACATAAGATGAGTTCTACCCCTGTTAAGAGTCTGAACTCCACTTGAACAGAAATAATGAATGTATACCAACATAATTTATTAGAGATAAAGAAGAGACAATTTTTTATTTGGCTTTAAACTTTCACATCGGATAAAAAACGAGGAAGTTGAATGACACTTAATTTAACGCAATCTCCATCTTTTAAGGCACTAACGATGCCGCGAGTAATCCTAGTATTATATTTCATAAACAGCTGTAGTTCCAAGCGTATAAAAGGGGCTGTAGTTCCTCAACAACCTCATTTAGGCAAGGACTTGATTAACTATACGTTTAACCTAAAACGTGAGTAGTTTCTATGAAATCCCTGAAACAAATAAAATCATGAGACAAAAATGGTCTTGTCACTAAGGAGATGCATGCAATTTAATTTTTATGTTAAAAATAAGTTTTGAAGAATGTATAAGAATGTACATTCTTATACAAAAACTATGTTTCATTACACGCGACTACCATATGAGGCAAGAGTTTGGAGTTACGAAATTACTATTCTTTACTATTCTGTCTTAATTTAAATGTTTTGGACATTGAGAGATGATTTTGAAACAGTCTGTTGGTCTGAAGAAATGTCATTGGCCACAAAGAAAATCCTAGACTCATTAAAGTCAGCAGGAGTTTTGTCTTGGTCTCCAGACTAAGGATGCTATATTTATACCATTTTTGAAATATTTTTCTGCCTCTAGAGTTCTAGGTTTTCGAAAAGGAAGATACTTTAAATGTGATGATAATGTTCAGCCTTTATTTGTAGTTTGCTCTTTGGAACAATGGAAAGATTGTGTTAAAAAGTTATATTTATGTTTAAAAATAATAGGATTTTTTAGTCTACCATATGGGAATTTTCATTATTTTCTCTGCAGCCATCTTGAAGGCCAGTAGAGAAGGTTTCCAGGTCTGTTAAAAAAAGAAAATTAAAAACAGTCCATATTTTTGTCTACCTCCTAATATACTTAAACATGTAAGAAGGTAAGCAAGGCATTTAGGTTAATACCTGCATAGCGTGGCACTTGATACTCATGTTGCAAGAGTAGCCACAACTAAGTAGTTAGCTGATAGCAGCCTGCAGCCTTCCCACAAGCTCCTCATATTAGAAAGGGATGCTGGCGTTGTTCTATAGATTTTTAATTGAAACTTGTCATATAATTATTTTTTTTTTCAAAATTAAGTCATGAGAAACTTTGTGCGTCATTAACAAGCAAAGGGAAATGGGTCAATAACTTAGAACGTAGGGATCTCTGAAAGATCTTGCATTTACTGTAACTGGAAGAAGTGGCAGATATGGCTGCCGCTTATTGGGATAGCCTTCTCTGCAGTAAGCAGGGATATCATTTTTTTAGCCTACGCCTTCTGGGTGTCTCAACCTTTTCTTCTTTTGTCTGGTTTACAGATTAAAGATATTGAATGAATGGGTAGATACTGTAATAAACAGAAAAATGAGAAGTTTAATTTCCAACCCACAGTATTTTTTCTCTCTTAGAAATTGAACTCATTCTTTCTAGATTTATAGTAGTAAAGAATAACTTCAAAAACATATAGTAGGACCTATAGTGAAAGCACTTTTCCAGTAACAGCTCCTTGGGTTAGAAAGAGACAATACCACCTTGAAGCAAATATTTTTACTAGTGATCTTACCATCTCTGTAAGGACTCATTTCTTTTATTTCCTTTAGTGCAACAAACTTTTCCTGAATGGAAAAGATAGTTTTATTATCACTCATCATTTTCACCCACTGCAATTTCTATCACAAATTTAAATATATTTAAGTGAAAACTATACTATTATTATGACTGAAGATCACAAATATCTGACTGATGCTAGAATGCAGAGTTTGGGACCACTCTTTTTTGGATACTGATATTTAGCCAAATTAACTTCTTGATATTCAGTGAGGCACACAGAATCTAATGATGAAATTACTGCTTGCTGATTTTGTATTTTCTAACAAATAAAAATAAAAAAAATCCCAAATTATATAGAAGTCTGACCTTCTTTAGTTGTGCACAGTCACAGCCACAAAGACCTCAACAGATCTGGCTCATGACATGGAACTACTCTGAATATAACACTAGCAAAATCAAGATCGACAGCTCAGAATGTACTAACATTAAATTAAAGCTAACATCTCTGTTCTGTACAAAGCCCATGGAACTTAGAGATGCGTTTCCTACGTTTACATAGGTAAACTTATTTTATCATCTCCTTTTCAGGCAATGGAACAGTTGCCTGTTCATTTCCACATATAAATACTACCTCATACTGATAAATATGAGCTTTTACATAAGTAACCATGTGTGTGCAGTTTGTAGACGACTAATGTTTGAAGTAAGGGTCTCAGTATCCAAAGTTATGTTGTGACATACCCATAGGTGGCAGGGTAGGCATATTATTAGACACAAGAGATCATCACCTGCATTAGATCATGGGTTAAGAATCTCAGAATTTCTCGAGTTGTTTCATTAACTTCTAATTCTGTCATGACTTCCCAACCACCGTTCTGGAACCGCACTGGCATAGAAAAGACAACCCCTTCCGGAACACAAAACTGACCTGAAGAAGAGAGAAAAATTACCCTAAACACATGATCTCCGATTAAAACCCACATCCTTACCAGTGTCAAGATTGCCTTGCAGAAATCTGCAACTGTGTGTAAAATCTTAGCATAAACAGAGACTGCCTTTCTCAATGTACAGGTCAAAAACTAAAGGGCCTCCCTCTAACTGTGACTTTGGATTTTAGTTTGATGTACATGTATCAACTTTACCTCTTAAAAAGGGGAAATCTTAAAACTCTTATTTCATGCAAGGGCTAAATGGCTGTTGTGAAACATTCCATTTATCGGTCCGTATAACTACCCAAATACATGCTTTTATAGCTTAGGTACTAAGAATTATAAACAGTCCTTGTGCAAAACACATGCTCCAGGAAAAGCATTTAAACTAAAAGACAATCTGCAAAAAGACAAGATTAACCTAAAAGATACTGGTAAGAAGTGAATACCAAATCATAAGCTCTGGATAGAGCAATTGCTTAGAGGTGGAAGCTCTTATGCTGAAACAAACTCTCAGTCTCTCATTGTATCATGATTTGATTTTCAATTTATTATTAAATTAGAAAGCTTAATAAAAAATAAAAAAAATTACAACTACTGAGGAAGGCTATACAGTAAAGAGATGTCTTCAGAGAATATGTAAAGTAAAAATAGATTTACCTCCAGCCGGAATTCCCACAGAAACAATCTCCCCAGGAGGAGAGCCGTGATACCAGTATCTGAGTACAGTAGCTACTGCATGAGCAAGTGACATTCCTACACAGTGATATTCCCGGGAACTCAATGAACGCTGTGCAGATGGCGATTCTGGATATATCCGGCTGCTACCATCAAAAAAAGAAAAAGAAAAAGAACCCCTGAAGATGACTGCAAGAAGAGTAGTTTTCTAGAGGGAGTAATGGAAGATAATAGTTAAAACTTACTGAAATTTGGGTGCTTAAGGCAGAAGACATAAGGTCCAGCAAAAAGTCACTCAAGAGCTAACAAGAAGCATCCTTATCTATGAAAGTCAGGTCACTTAATCAAGTCATAACCTCTATTATTGTTATTTACACGTATTACTGTATTAACGTAAGGACCCATCCACAGACCAGAATGTCTTTGTGGTAGCCACAGTAGAAATATGGAACAAAAGAAAGTGTCTGTGGCCCAAAAACCTGCCTATCAAATGTCCCCTTTCAGTGGCTCAGTAAATGCTAGGTTTGGCCCAGAGCCGGAGCTCTGCACACAGCCAGACATGAGTGCATGTCGCATCTACTGCCTCCTCACAACAACGATCCTTTCTTTGCTACTTGCCTTTTGGCAAGAAACTATCTGGCTGCCAAGTGTCCTTTTTACAGGTGTTAGCAACCCCTGTTTTGTGAAATTGACAGCATTAGCCCCTGCAGGCCATATTTTCAATATACATTTAGCATTATTTCAAAGATGTCTTACGGATATGAGGAACCATGTCACTAGCTGGCCTTTCACCACATTTTAGGGGCTGCTCACGATATGATACAAAGAAATACACTTAATATGTAGGAAAATACAGCTATAACTAAAGTTGGAAGGGGAGTTAGAACTATGTATAGCACTAGTAACTACCCAACTTCTTTTGGGGCCTGAGTACTTCAGCATGAGTATTTCCTTTATATGCAGTACAAAATCTGTCAGTAAAGACAGACCTTGAAAACAAAATCTTTCTTTGTTTTTTAAAGGGTTCAGAGAAAAAGAGATTAATTTAAGTTGGTTAGTTTTACTTTAAAAAACAAATCTGTACTGTACCTATCATAAATCACGTTGCATAAAGGACGTGAAAAATTAGGTGGACCCCAAATAGCACCATCATGTCCATACACTTTTGCATGTGACAAATCAGTGTAGCTCCAGCCAGTAACATTGCCCCAAATAATCACATCTTTAACTCCTGTAACAGAGAAAAATACACAGATTAATAAAGAGAAAGACAAATGCTTGCACAAGATAGGCTGGAGTAAATGATCTCCAGAAGACCCCTCGAACATGCACTATTCTCTGATTCAACGTCCTACTTTCATCACAGAGATCATTTCATCTGAAAACTGCAGCTAACCTCTGTTTCCACAAAATTACATGAAACCTCATCATAAGCTGAAGAAGGAACTTTAACTTATAGAATGCTATTGTAGGTATTAGAGTAAACCTACTAAATATTTAGTTGTTCGAAAACAAAACAAATCATACTGCAAACATACAGAAACGTTCCTTATAAAGCCCTGCTCATGCAAATATAGATTGCCTAATAGCAATCTGTAGAAAATGATTTAAAAAAAATCTAACCGCTTAGGCGCAAAATGAATTTCTTAAATAATCTGCTGACATGCTACTCAGTCTATTAACTTAAAAATTACTTTTCTGTTTTATTAGGCCCCAAAATATATAGACTTGTCATTGATGACCATTTCCTACCTCTGCAGCACAGAGAGAATGTTGATGCAGAACAGAGTGTTGAAGAACTGTGTGAATATAACCAAGCTATAACCCTTGGCCTTCCTGAGAAAGGAAGCTAACTTACTCAGGAATAACACTGCAACACAGTTCTGTTATACTCTCAGTTTATTATCTGCACAGCAGTATGCTGTCATGTTTCTATACTGGTTTATTCACAGCTAGCTTGGGCATCTCCGATGTAACAATATACTGCACAGTGCAAACGCAACCTTGAAGTCCTAGTTCTTGATTCACAATGCAGCTTAGTCCTGCTTAGCGTATTCTCCAGCATAATATACATGCCAGAACGGCAGGGCTGCGTGCAACAGTTAGCGACCGAACTGACATTCATGGGACCATGCACAGATCCACACAGCTGTAGGCACAGAGAACAGCAGCACCTGCTAGTCACACCCCTAGTGTTCTGTACAGCCATGAAATTCAGGGGGCGTGCTTGCATGCTGCTGTGCTTGCATTTCTGCACGTACACCAACTGTGGTCTGCTATGAAACGCACGCTCTAGAAGGCATCTACCCAGTGAAGTCCCCAAATGCTACCAGAACACAAATATTCACCTGCTGTATTTATATTCAGTTTCCTGGCCAGCACGGCTTTAGCTGCATTTTCCCAGAAAGTCGCAAGGGCAATGATATTTTCAGGTTTAATGGATGGGCCATATGTCATAATCATCATTGCCTTA